CTTCGTGACAAGACCTGTCTTTTGGTGAACCTTTCTGCTCCTCTGCTTTTGTGTTCTGTCCTGGGGTGCTGAGGATTCCCCCACTTCTCAGCACAGGAGAGAAAATGAATGGAAAATACAGTACTAACTTGACTGCCAACTGAATTAGCAGAGAAACATATGCAGCCATTTAAGCAAAGGCATTATTTTAAATCTGTTCTACAATGGCTGCAAGTGAGCACACCTCATGGTGGCTGCAAGTCCGCAGCTCCTGTGGCAGGGGCAGAGGAGATTTTCAGTGGGGGAAGCACACCTTGTCATTCAAGCTTTAAACAAAAAATTATGATTAGAAAGATGCTGTGGCTTGCAGAAGACTACCTTGTGCAATCAGATGGGTAACTCTTACCTGATAATTTCTAAAAGTGATCAGAAGGGCAAGTATCTCTCTGCCTATAAAACCTGCATCCAGTGCTTCAATTAATAGAAGAAACTAGGAAAATGAACGTAATCAAAACAATTTTACATGCAGAATAAGGGCCAAGGGTCAAATCTGAATCACAGTTACATTTAGGTTCCATGTGCAGACAGGTCAGTTAAAAACCCCATTAGACAATCATTAGGACTAACGAATTATTCAGCAATGTTTAAACAACAGACGATAGCAGCTCACAAGCTGTTTGTAATCCTAATACTTCATATGTGCTTATTGTTCTTACAGCACCGGTACTGCTTGTCTTTACAAATTAATGATCAATACAGTTCTAAGGACATAATATACAGCAGAGCTGAAAACCGAATTTATTTTCCTCCCTTTGTCTTCTTATTTTTTACTTCCCTGTAAGACTGCCAGCAGAGAAAGCAGCAGTGATGCATTTCAGCACAGCTGGCTTTAAAGGTTGTGTGAAACGCCCAGGCACCATGGGCTCAGTGCATGATGCTCCCAGACTTGGGAAACTATGGCAGGCAAATCTCTATAGATTTGTCTGCACACCCCCACTGGGAATTTGCCCCTCTCTGATCCAAGACAGTTCACTGAAGGCTGCCTAGCCCACTTTTTGCACCTGGCTGAGTGATTGACCAGAAGCTCGACGGGGTCGTGGAAGCTTTATTCCCTTTGTTCCATGGGTGTCTGCCATGGAGAGCCAAGCTTGGATTAACTGAGTCTAAATCCCTGGGCAGCTTGCCAGAGCAATGCTAGCTCTGAAGCAAACGTAGCTCCAAGATGGTTTCAAGACTGGCTTTATAGATCAGTTCTTCTTAGGTGCAAATCCATGGGCACTGAGCATAATGCCTCATGTCAGGCCCCTGGGGAGTCTTTCCCCACAAGCAGTAGTTGCCAGCTCATGCAGGAGCAATGTGAGCGTTGACAGTGCCATTTCTTTTGGGGCCAGGCCTTCCCCAGCAGTGCTCCCTGGCCAGCAATGCAGACATCCTTTCACTGGACACTGCCGCATTCCAGCAACACACATGGACATGTTTCATAATATGCTGCCCACGCAGCACCTGCGTGTTTCTTGTTGTGGTGCCAAGCATTTTGATATATTAGCTTTTAGGTCACTGTCATTTGGAGCAATATAAGAAAAAAGCTATTTTCCAACATCTTTCAATAGCTGATCTGAAGACAAGGTGCATTAAGCCTTGCAGGAGCCAACAACTCCCAAGAACATGCCTCCTCCTGCAAGTCTCCTCCTCACCCAAGGAGTTAGAGGTTATCTTCTGCTTCAAAGTGGAGTTACTTTTCTTCTAGACCTCTTTTGGGCAGGGAAAGAAAAGACTTTCAGCCTAGTTTCTGTGAAAACAAGGTTAATGCTCTCATGCTGGGTTGGTTTTGCCTCCCCCTAATAACTTTTGAACACATTAGCCTTCTTCAGCTCATTTTGACAGAAAGATAGAGGTCTAGAAAATAATTAAAATCTTACAAGTTTTGTGAAAATAGGCACTGATGTAGAAGAGAGAGGGGCCTGGTATCAACATCCTCACCAAAGAAAGGCCGAACATGAATGCACATCTCATTGGGCATCAGCACAATGACACAGAAAACAAACCTGCAACTACAAAAGAAAAGCTTCAGCTGAAATTTACACTTCTTAAACTTCCAAGTCAGACCACAGACAAGACCAAAAAAGCCATAGTTCACAGAAGTCCTTGCTAGTTTCAAACTAAACTCAACACCTTTTGGCTATTCCGCCAGATCGAAAACTTCTTGGGACGTAGCTGAGTGTCACCTCCACATTGCACTGGCATAACAACTCGCTGCCTTCATTACATCTGCCTCTGCTCGGGGAACCCAGGATGCAAAACATTACACAAGCTATTTCAAATGACATTCGAGGGTGTTTTAAAAGCCTTTGCTCTGTGTGCAGGAACACTGTGTTGTGTGTGTGTACAGCAGGTAAAGAGATTCATATCACTGAAGTGGAAAGAAATACCTCTAATTGCTGTGGCTTGAAAACACGAGTGGCAAGCAGAGTATTATAAGCCAACGATTTGAAAACAGAAATGGGAAGCAGAAACTTGTGAATTCAAATGGCTCTGTGACCATGAGGAAACCAATGCTGAACAATTGAATCCAGCTTCAACTGAAAGACCATGGAAAGGCAACTTCATTATACATTTTCAACTTCCAAAGGCTTACATGGACTGGCATGGACTAAGCAGTTCCACTGCAGGCAGCAGCCCAACTCCTGTGCATAAATCAAGTGCAGAAGTACATTTTCAGGGAGCTGCATCTAACCATCATTCTTTTTCCTTTTCTTCTCAATGTGTCTCCTCTTACCAAATCACCACCCCAACAGTAAAATGCAAACAGTAAAATACATGTCAGCAGGGTACATGAGGTTTATCTTAAAACTGCTTTTACCTTTTCTCCTTTAAACTCCCAGAGAAGAAAATCCTCCTATATTTTACTTTTTTGTTTTTCAAAAAGCAATTTATTTCTTTCCCAGACCTTTTCAGCTCAGTGCCTTGGAATATTTCCACCCTCCTCAGAACTGATGGGTGCTAAAATCAGCCCAGAGGTGTCTGCTAGCAACAAAACCTCTTAACTTTCTGTACTAAAATGTCTATTTAAACCACTAACATCCAAAAATTTCTGCCTCAGCTAGCATTCTAGCATAGCACTGGCCCACCGTGTTATTTGAAATGAACCTGCTTTAAAAGAGAAGAGTGAAAATGAGTGATGGTTGAGCTTCTGACCTTTTGTAAGATACTACGTAAAAAGGAATCTAAAACCCATCCTCCTCTAACTGTCAGTTTGGCAGAGGCACTTCCAATCTGAAACTCATTGGGCTTGGAATAATAAAGGCTTTGCCTATAGCAGAGCTCTAGGGTGGGTAATTATCTATATGAGAGTGGTACCTCAAGTCCCCAGAGGGCAGGTCCCTTTGTGCTAGGCACTGAGCAAACACGTAGAGAGGGGCCAACCCTGTCCTGAGGAATTTGTGCTCTAAATAGACAAGTGGGCTGAGCGCACGAGAGGGGGCAACAGATGTGGCCAAACAGGTGAAATGAATCGCCCTGAGGTCACACTGTAGATCAATGCAGATATCAGGCACAGTGCTTCTGTCTCTTCAATCCCAACACAGTCCCCTAACTGGGAGCCCATGCTCTTCCTCATCAGCTAAACCTCCTCCCTTGCATATAATCCTCCTCCCCCCTCCCCCGCCATGAATCTTTCTTTTTGCAAACTTGCACAGTCGTCTGCCTCTGCTGTGGGCTGAGGCAGGGTGAGCTTTCATTATCACCTTCAGCTGGGCAGCCCCATGTTTTGCCTCCTCTCCTATTCACCGGCTTCCTTCCATATCTGGCATACCATTTGGCATTCCCCTGGTAGGCTGGGAAAGCTGAGCCAGACTCCTGACCTTTATTTTTTTTTGGGCAGGGACGAGGGTCCAGGTCTAACTTACACCAGCCTTGAAATACAAACTGCTATTGAGCTGCTCTAAGAAAGAGACTTCTTTTGCAGCCTCTGATGCCTTTGTTTTAACACAGTTCTCAAAAATGGTGTAGAAAATTATTAAGTCAAGGCTTGGCCTGTCTTACAGCTTCCTTTGCTCCCCTTCAAGCTATTTACAAACACCTCCCACCCACTTAAAAAAACTCACTCTGGACATTTTGGATGAATAGCAGATACCATTAAAAAAGTTTTCAGCAGAAACAAATACTCACAGTAGGCTGGTCCAGCGTTGAACTGTTCAGCTCATCTTCCTGCTGCTGCTGTTCCACAATGCTCTGTGGAAGAAAGATGCTGAGGCTCCATCTTCCAGGAGAAATCATTGAGGTATGAAGCCCCAGTAGGGAAGACAATTCCAATCCAGTCCTCCAAGCAGAGAGGTCCAACCTGTCTCTGGTGAGCGCTTGAGGATGGCTGGTTCCAGGCAGCTACATGGCAAATTTGGATGGCTTATTTTATAACATCCTTTTCAACTGGGAAAATGGATCACCTTTTTCTTAGGGTGGGGCGGATTATCAGATTTGAAGTAGCAGGTCTCAGCTGTGTGTACTGAAGGGATCAGCTGGACCCAGGTGAGGAATCACTGACCTCACAACTTGCTACTAGCCTTGAAAACCTCTAAACCCTGGTTATTCCCAGAATTCTGGTAACAATGACTTTCAGATGGTTACAGAAAAGGACAAGAAAGGGAAATTGCATTTTGCATTAAGTGTTTGCTATGCCAGACTGTTTTCACCACGACTAGCTGCCAAGCAGATAATGGAGGTATGGTTTTGGGAACAAACAGTTAGGAATGGACACATTTTTTGGTTAACACAATGCCCCCAAAGATGCACAGACCTGGCTGCTTTTAGCCAGGCTACATGACAACCTTTCTCTCCAAAGTCATCCCAGCTGATAAAGTCCTAATTTTTTATTTCTCCAGTAAAGAATTAGCAGAAGGTTTACAGTCCTGCATTGGAAATAAAGCATGTGTACCCTATACAGTGGGCTGAAATTAAAAAAGAAAAGTCAGCAGCTTTCTTGTATGCATCAAGTGTCTGGATTTTAGAATAACCAGAAGACATGGTACTCTTGTCCTGGATTTTATTAGGAAATTAACAGGCTGATTGATAACCTGAAATTACATAGTGAATCTCATTTAAAAAAGTGTTCAAAATCACGAGAATAATTTTGATTTCTATGAAAACTTAATGCCCAGATACAATTCCTCTTTATGCCTGTAAATTTCCACACCCTTAACATTTATCTACTGAACAACTGTGAGGCTGGATAATTGTAACAGAATCTGTAAAGTTAAATACAGGATACTTTCTCTGCAGTCCAAGTGAAAGAGATGAAATGTTGAAAAGAAAGCCCAGAATGTGAGCAGCACATTCTGAGAGTGTGAGAAGGTTCCCTGTGATCTCATTCATTATGTGTCAGTATTTCAGATGCTCAAAGATATTACAGACTGGTAATGTTAACTGCTGTTCCAAGTTATGAGGCTTTAGGGCAGAGGGAGAGGGGGAGAGACACCACTGTGGAGTACAGGCTCTGCAGTGAGAGGAACAGGGTGTACTGGATGTATATGATGCTCAAAGTATGAGGGCTGATATATCTGTCTGCATTTCTCCCTATTTGCCAGCAGTATGAGCTACCACCACCACCGCATTGGACTAAACAGCTTTTCCTGACACTCTGTTGCTTTAAATGTTTCATGTTCAAAGAAGGGCTGCTATGATTCAGGTGCTGACTCTCTGAAAGGGATGAATTTCAACCTTAGTAACCACAGCCCCACTCCTGCTCACGTCGTGTACGTGAAAAATCACCCTGAGCCAACACCGTTGGTTTCACTGCAGCTCAATGAAATGTTGATTTCGTTGCGTGTGGGGTAATGTGGTTCAGCACCACGGGTTGTAGGTGAGGCCCTTGGTTCTCTAAATAAAGAGCTGGCACTTTTCAACACCAAATGACTCTTGTAGGGAGTTGGATTTCTCAAGACATTATTCAGGAAACCATTCAAATTGTCATATACGTTGTGTGGAGGAGAGATGCTTCCCTGAACTGGGGCCTCGATTCCTGAGAGGATTGTGGATGTTCTGTAAGTGGCCAGCTCAAGCACTTGACCAGCGAAGTCCAGTCACTTCAGCCTCTTGTATTATTCTTGGCCTCTGTAAGTTAAAAACCAGTAGATTTAAGAAGTAGCAGGCCTTCTTTTTAAAATGCTATGTCAGGACAAGTACATTCAGACCACTGTGTTTTTTATTTATATATAAATTCTTTGGCAACAATTTTCTAGAGAGCAGAATAATTTTTTGCTGTGTAATACTTTATTGTCTCCCCACGAAAAACTGATATCTTAGAAAATCTATATCACTTTCCACTATAAATAGTACTGTTCCAGATTAAGGATTAGTTCCTCCCTGAAGAAAAACAGATTTAAAAAATCTAGTCATTATCTCATAACTGTTTATGTAGTAACATTGAAATAAAACAGAAAAAGAAAATCATTCAGTATGTGGTTTGTTATTGTCTAGAATGTTAGTGTATGTTTATACAATAAAAACAACATAAGTTATCCTAGTTTGTTTTAAAAACCTTAGTAGTAGAAATATATTGCTATCTGCAGATTCATAAACAGAATGCACTTTTTCCACCTAAGTTCAAGTATTATTAGAATATTATTATTACTATCATTATTATTATTATTGAAGGAGCTCTAAATCCTCGCCATTTTGCCTGTCTTGACATCATTTTGGTCTTTCTGAGAAAGAACAAGTTGTGATCATTTATACATGAGCAAAATCAAGGTAGAGCTTCCAGAAGTTTTCCCTGGTGGAAGAAAGCCTGGCAATCCTTTGGCTACTATGAGCAACTTTAGAGGAGCATATTTGAGACTATCGGTAGAGATGCAGTAGTCACGTGCTTTCTTGGTTGTCTGATGGGCTTAATTTCTTCCAGGTTCTCAACATTCAGTCCCATTTAAAGGAGAAGGGCAGAAAGAACCCAGCCCAGACTTGTACCACATCAGGATATGTCATCGTCATTTCTTCTTGGTACTGTCAGTTGCTCGTAGGTCGGCAGAGTGTTGTTAGGGAGGAAGAGATCCGAGTTGACGCTGTTGCCTCTCTGAGATGATCTGCTGTTCCCTTGATCCCCCTGCTGACGGGAAACCAGATGATGCAACATATCCGTAATGAGGTTCAGTTTCTGGTCCATTTGTGTAACCTACAAAGGCAGAGGGGAGCATTGTTCAGTAGCAGCATGTGAGAAAATTGCAACAAACCAGGTGATACACATGCAATAAGAAGATGACAGTTTTCTTAATTAGGATCACAATAACCTCTGTGAAGATGCCTGTGACAGATTCACAGTTCATCAAACAGATAATTAGAAATTTAATGTAATAGGTCAGAGTTGGATGAGGACAGGCTTGTTAATACTAACCTCTGGTATGGGCTTTGACACTCATTTTATACCTGGATGAACACATGACAAATAAGCTTCTAAAAAGATGTCCTGCGATAGAGAACTAAGTCCCAGAACTGAGTTTCTGGTTTTGGTTGGTTGGTTGGTTTTGTCTGAGTTTTGTTTGTTTGTTGTTATTAGTGTCCATATTTTTGAAAGAATGACAAACTTCTATTGTGCTTATATGCCTTAATTATATCAATATGCTCTAGTAAACAACTGCTTGACTTGCAGTGATCTAATCAGCTCCAAGTTGGGACTGACTGATGCTCTTTGATACATTTGGGCCCAATTACCAGCTCAGGCCACAAAATGCCCATATGTATTTTTGCTGCTGTGAGCATATGGCAGCTGGGGTCTGTGGCAAGGGTTGGGAGTGGGGCATGATTCAGTTTTATGCTCTCACTGTGTCATGATCGATGACATGATCCCCATCAAGACAGAAACCAAGAATTCTAAGATGGCTGAAAACTAATTTCTTAACTGGGGGTCTGCAGGTGTTCAGCCTCAATTCATAATGCTCATTTTCTTCTGCCTTAGACAGACTCTCCTTAAATTATTTAATTCCTCTCTTTTTTTTTTTTTTTTGGTTTGTTTTTATCTTTAGAAGAAAATGTAATGAAAAATCAGATACCCAGATACCTAAGAGAAGTTAGGTTATGGATGCTATTTGGTGTACATCTGTGTTATTCAGAGGAAAACTGAGAATTAAGTGTTTCTAGGAGCACCACAGATTTCAGTCAAGAAGTATCCTGTATCACCCCTTCTATCTGGCATGGGAAGCCTCCTCTCTGTGCTGACTCCAATGTACTGAGCAAGCTATCCCAAGGGGAAGATGGGCACTTCCAGCTTCAAAGTCCTGCTCACTCTCTGATCCTGGGCATGGCAAAAACATTGAAACTGGGCAGTAAGATTCTGCCTTATGGCCTCCCACTCCCTTCTGCAAGCCTAACAAGAAAGCCTCGATATTGCCATTGCAGTCTCTGACCCATTGATCCACAGGGATTCTAAAACTCAGAGTAAATTCTAGGCAAAAAGATTTAGTACGTTTTAAAAAGGGAAAAGAACGCAAGCAGGAAAAAAAAAGTGATAGGAATAAATTGTTGCCTAAAATATCTGCTAGAAAACAGTGAAAGGCACATAAAACCACCAGAGAGAGCACGAGTGGGAGCAATTTATATGTGCTTGGCTGTCATCCAAGTATCACACAGGATAACAAAAGACAGTAAGGCTGAGCAGAACATCAACAAACCTGTAGGATTTCAGCAGAGACTAAAATGTTTTTCTACCACAGAGAAAATGGTGGGGGTTTTTGAACACTTTGTACAACTGGTAGAGAAGCAGATACAGTGATTTAAAAATATGAGGTGCCAGAGATTTATACTTTGCAGCTGGTTTTGAAAACATTAGGCAAAGCACTCTAGATGGTACATGAAACACTGGTAATTTTGGATGGAAATGGCTGTTGAAAGATGAGATTCTATGAAATGAGGAAGCTGAAGAACTCATAAGTTCAAGATTTCTAGAAGGAAATACAGATGGAAAACTGAGCAGATCATCAGGTTTTAATTTCAACACTATGTGTTCACTCCCTTAAAAAAAGGCACATTTTGCCCAAATGGTGCCCATCACAAATGACAAACTCGTGACGGTACAAAGCAGTGGTAGCGAAGTCTGCAAAAATACCTCATTCCTGCATCCCCCACTGCCCAGGTATCATTTGTGATCTGACACAGCTGTGCTGGAAAGACTGCAGTGAAAGCCTGCAGACGAACAGCTATCTTCAGAGTTTGAAGGACAAGCTTTTCTTCTACAAGGAATGTCTTTTTGCCAATTATTCTAAACAAACCAGGGGATTTGTATATGTATATATTTCTTAATTTGTGATTCCAGGCTGGGAGTATCAGAGGAAACACTGGAGATATATCTGGAAAATGTGCATTTATGAAACTCTTGCAGTGATGAGCTATTGAACATGACAGTAGGTTGGACTGAGATCTGGATAGTCCTTCAACAGCTGTGCATCTTGGTGATGAAGTACTGGAGAGAAGTGAGAAGTGAAAATTCTTGCTGGGAAATAAATTCCCAGAGATTATTGTCTAATTTTTTCTAGGGAACAAGGTCTGGCTGCTGCAGCTGTGGAGTGCAGGAGGCCCACAGAAGCAGAGGCAGAAGCTAATTGCTATTGAGCTGAGCCATATGAGATTAAAAGTAAAGACCTTCGTCTTCCATTTTCCTGCTTGTTGGGGTAGGGCTCTAAAGGCAAAAGCTTTTGTGGAGGGAGGTCCAGAAAGCTGGTTGTGTTTAATTGTTGTTGTAATCAGTTTTTACTTTCCAATAAAGCAAGCAATTTCCCTGGGGGTTCTGTGCCATGAAGGGCTTGCTCCAAGACACGCTGAAGTCAGTGGTAGTTCTTGGCAATCACTGCCCTCTGTATCAGTCTTGGACCAAATCACCAAATCGTAACATATTCTTTGGCTATTACAAGGGAAGGATCAATCTGGATTTCTGCACATTGATCTCCTTAGATGCTTTTTGGGACTGCATCAGAAAAGATGACATTTGCAAATGAGGCAGCAGTGGGATGACAGGCCCCCATCCTCGGCTCTGCCAAAGGAGCATCTGCTTAAAGTATGAGATATTTTGAAAAGAGAAGTAAAAGCCACCAGAAGGCATCTTCTACTGTCATCACAGGCCTCTGATGTACAAGAATAAGAGGCTTGCTGATGAACAGCTTTACTTATTAGCATGCCCAATCTGCCTGTAGTCATCCAAACACACATCCTGAAATATATCATTTACTTGTTTGCTGCAGAGAGAATTATACCCACTAGAAAAATGTCAGTGTGTGCAATACCCTTTTTATTAAACTAGCTTGATGTACTTAGCACAGTGAAGTGCATCATCTCCCCTGAATCGTGCTTTCAAACATATTTACTTGATTAGAAATTAGCTATAATGCCAGAACGAATAAAAGTAAAGAAAACAGAAAAACTGCTGATGTTGCTCTAATCTTAACTGCTTTGAACAACTCTGATATCTGTCCTTAAAACAGCAAACATTGTTAATTACACAGAAGAATGACTTAGACTGATTTGTTTCCTTTAGGAAAAACTAAGTAAGCTCTTTGTAGATGATTTATGTTTCATTAGAAGCATTATGTTTGGATGATCAAATTCTTTATATGCAAATAATTTCATTTGTATTTCACAGTTGTTGGGGAGAGGAAGCAGTGTTTGAAACTTCAGAAATTACACGCCACAGTTAATCCTAATTTTTACCTAAATATTGTAGGAATACAAGATTTTTCCATCCTCCGAGATAAGTAGTTTGTTTTTTTTAAAAAAAAGATCCAAGGATCATAGACTGAGCACAGATGGGGAGAAGCAGATTTAAACAAGTTTTGAATTTAGCTCTTGGAAACAAATAAAATCCCATCCATGCAGTGCACTGAGACAAAAAAAATCAACAACCCCCAACCAAATCTGAATCAAATAGCCCTTCACAAAGACTGAAAGGTTAGCAAACAAATCTTAAACGGCACATAATGAAGAAATGTAGTTTTGTCACAGAACAGATTTTTCCTCTCCCTGAAACGCCACAGAGGCACGTGACTGCTCTGACACCATGGGCAATAGACCAGCAGGGATGATGTAGCTGCTATGAATCACAAAGTCCTCTTAGGTCATGTTTTCAGGAGCAGCAGTCCTCTACAAATGGATATAAACCATAGAACCATAGAATGTCCTGGATCAGAAGAGACCTTAAAGTTCATCTAGTTCCAACCCCCTGCCATGGGCAGAGACACTTTTCACTAGAGCAGGTTGCTCAGAGCCCGATCCAACCTGGTCTCTAACACTGCCAGGGATCGAGCATTCATAGCCTCTCTGGGCAACCTGTACCAGTGCCTCACCACCAGCACAGTACAGAATTTCTTCCCTAATATCTAAACTAAATCTACTTTCATTTTGAAGCCATTCCCCCTTGTTCTGTTACTGCATCTTGTTATAATAGTCTCTCTCCACCTTTCTTGTAGGTCCCCTCAGGTACTGAAGCCTGTAATTCGGTCACCCCAAAGACTTCTCTTTTCCAGGCTGAACAATCACAATTCTCTTAGCCTTAGTGACACGCTTTTATAAAGGTATCAACTTTTACAAAGGTATCAAAGGCATTCTAGGAGGTACTACTGAACAAGATAGAGACTGTTCTCATTGAGAAAACCAAATAGTTTATCAATTATTATTATCTATCATATTTATCTGCTAAAATTCCTCAGATCTTCACAATTTATTCATTTGAAATTTCCTGTAATTTTAAGCACTTACAACAAGTTTGTCACATGATTCTGAAAATAATATGTAACAATGAATTTATTTCCTTGCTTTTAAAAACAAAACAAAGCAAAACAAAACAAAAAACCCCAAACCAAACCAAAATGCAGAAGCCTCAGTGGCTGCAGTAGCACCTGGAGAAGGGTCCCTTTTAAGCACCCTTGTAATAAGAACTAAAGAGCAGCACTTTGGAGTCCTTTTCCCAAAACTTACCGTAGGGATTTATCCCTTAGAAAAGGGCAAAGACAATTATGGAACTGAGTGGAAACAGTATTTTCAGCCATAGTTATTCAGGATAGTGGGAAAGCTGAAGCATAAAATTTGGAGTTTGGTATAATTTAGGCCACAAAGACCACAAGTTATTAATAAATTATTCCAAGTATTGCTCCATGATCTGCAGGGATCAAGGTTGATTAATGCTGTTGATTA